AATGTCAAACTTCAATAATTGCTTACGATGGTGCCTCTCACTGACGTTTCCGGTGATATGTTTGGGAATGTACCCAGCCAATGGTCCGATACTAGAAATCACGAATACTATGGATGAGGACACGGGACTAGGTACATTCCACAAGGTCTCCCTGATGCTCTAACCAAATTGCGAAAACACGATCGAACCAGCACTATAGAGCTAAAGGAGACTGCGACCAAACAGAAGGCCACACTATTTTTGTCTTCATATATACGTTCAACAATTACTGACTGTCTACAAGCATAATCATTGAAATTAATATAGCTTTCATATCTTTTCTTCCTATACTATCTGGATTCTCAACAGCAACTCTCCTTTTACCAATATCTTTCCAGATAATTTAATTCTATTAATATAAGAAATTTTTCTTCACGATCTAAACATTACTTTATCTATTTATTTGAAATTTACCAAAATCCTTACATGCCTGAAACTCATTCCTAGTTTTTGTTTGGCTAGCTCTGCCGACGTTCCCATTCGGCATATTGTAAACATGGTATATCCGAGTAAGTCTTACATTGAGGGTAAATTAATCTCTTCAGGTTTTGCATAGGTCATTATATCTGTATGTATGATTAATTTTAAAAGTATTTAATCAACTCCCAATTTCGTTTCTATTTTGAGTTCTTCTTTTGGTTGACCTTAGACGCATTTTCTTCACAAATGAATCCCCTGTTTAAATAATGACCTTTACTTTATCCATATAATGCAATTTTTTTCAAATTACTTCCCATTTTGTCTTTGCTCTTGACTTAATCGACATACTGTTGAAAATTCTGCATCAAAAAATAATCTGCATGACACATCTATGCACATAAAAGAAAGAAGGCAAAGTACAGGCTGTAATGCTTGTTGCTAAAACGAGTAACATGCCTGCCTTAACCAATCGGCAAAGTATCTCGAAAATTTTCAATATTATCATTTATTGTAAAGCTTATTTTTGGTCATTTTTGTTTAGCTACTCTCACATAAATTTCCATAACACTTTTCCTCAAGCAAACGCAAATCCCTCAGAATATTATTCAATTTGGTAGATATGTAGAAACATTGGTTTATGTTGGAGTACTTTTAATTTCGTTTGAAGAGGTGAGCGGAAGGGATTCACAAGTTGGCCTCATCGGAGGCTGTAGAGGGATTGTCTTGGAACTGCGATTGTAGATTTGTGCAAATAGGTCCTCAGTGAAAGACAAATGTTGTAGGGAAGGCTGCATCTGTTCGTTAACAATTGCATTCATTTCACCTTTCAATTCTGACCACTGTACTTCTAACCAGCATGTAGGAAAAGCATAGGATCTTCAACCAAATCATTTAATGTCCCACTTAGTGGACCTACCCAAACTATGAAATGTATGCAGGCTCGCAGCGGGCCACCTTCCTTGTCTTAGGGCTTGGCGAATTATTGTAAACTATAGTGTCCTGCTCTGACGATGTCCGTAACATGACGAGCGAAAAAATCAGCAAGGATTCATTGGGGCCACAGAGCAATACAGCGAGGACCTATTCACATAAATCTACAATCACAGTTCCCGGACAATCCCTCTACAGCCTCCGGTGAGGCCAACTTGCGAATCCCCTCCGCTCGCCTCTTCAAACGAACTGAAAGGTACTCCAACACTATTAAACTTTCCCATTTTTTTCTCGATCATTTATCCCAATCTTCAGATAATGGGCTTGCCACCCGAAGCTTCAAGTGGTTTTTCACATGGATACGCCAAGCTGACTGGATCAGCCGATGAGGATATTGGGATCAGATCTAACTATCACTTAGAAGAGCTTGATCTAGACTTCCACACCAAAACCAACGCTTTAAGGGAGGATTTAAATAACTCAGAAGTTTTATCTCAAACGGAGCAAGAAGAAGAGGCTTCAGAGCTAGAAAACGGGAGGGAACTAGCAAAGGATCAAGAGGATGTATATTTCAAGAGAAGAATTTTTCGTACAGCGGCATCTCTGAAAGATTATAACTTTAGTGCCTTAGAAGTTGGTCTAATGACAGAAGGATCCGGCATCGAACGCGAAGAACTAGTGTTAGAAGGGGGTGTGACAGATGGTTATGACGGGGACGTAAGGGAAATGGAGATGGAAGAAGAAGAAGACGATGAGGCGAAGAATCACGTGGGTCCTTCAATTCACTCTCTCAGGCGCCACGGGCCACCTCTTCTCTCTCTTTCGCCTTCGTTGCCTCATATACACTCGTTCGATTCTAATCCTACAGCTGCTACAGTGGTAAACCAGGACTCTAGTCTGTCTGGGTTGGCCGACAACTTAAGCAGTACAGATCTGGCATGGGATGGGGACATACCAAGTCCAGCGCCTTCAATAAGCCGCCTTGGCGACATTGACCGCGAGACAAACAAATTAGTAGACATCAGGCCTATTTGCGCTAGTGAGCGGCAGCGTCGCGCTAGCGCCACTGCTTTTGGTCAGCAGACTTCCCCTACGAGACAACCTCTTTTGGAGTCTATCTACCAACGAATGACTCATAAGATGCCTGAATTGTGTCCAGCACCTCCAACATTCTCGTATCCTAAGGTCAGTTTAATTCCGCATCTCCCTTAGTGTGTTTTTTATACTGCCATTTTTACATAATATATTAGCTAAAATAAATCGGTGTAATAAGCATCCTAAATGTTAATTTGAGAAACTTCATATGTAAGTTATCTCAGAGGGGACTATTTTATTTTAGATTCTTAGATAAACTCCTTTTAACTCACCTGCAAAGAT